GCTGCTGCTGCTGCTGCTGCTGCAGCAGCAGCAGCAGCAGCAGCAAAAGAAGAATAAACCGAAAAATGAATATATGGAGAGACACTAAATTAGCAAAGGGAAACAAAAATAAGAAACTATACATCCGGGCTACAAAAACATGGAAAAAACAAACGAAACCGCGCAGCAGCAGCAGCAGCAGCAGCAGCAGCAGCAAGAGTAGCAACAGCGTGCTGCTGCTGCTGCTGGCGTCTGTGGCGTCGTTGCCGTTGCTCTCAGTTTCATTGCTGCTGCCTGTCGATGCCCTGCTGCTGCTTCTAATGCAGCAGTTGCTGCTGCTGCTGCTGCTGCTGCTGCTGCACGTCTGTCAGCTTAACCAAATATGTTTGCTGCTGTTGCTGCTGCTTGGGAAATAATAAATCAGCAAGACAAAGTGAGAGGACTTTCCGGTGGTGCAGCAGCCGAAACGGCAGCTCCTTGACGTGATTTTGCTGCGGCTGCTGCAGCAGCTGCTGCTGCAGCTGCTGCTGCAGCAGCTGCTGCTGCTGCTGCTGTTTGCTGCTGCGGCGCCTGTGCTTGCCCCCACCTTTCTTCTCTTTATCTGCTGCAACAAATGCCTCTCCCAGAAACACTCGGCCCCATTTAGGGCTGTAGATCCCCTCACACTCTTCAGCTGACGAACTGCTGCTGCTGCTGCTGCTGCTGCTGCTGCTGCTGCTGCTGCTGCTGCTGCTAGTGCTGCTGCTACTGCTACGGAGGCTTCCTTGCTTCAAGTAGCAGCAACCTCTTTTGTTTTCCACCTCGGCGACAGCACCAGCGGTAGCAGCAGGAGCAGCAGCTGACGGTGCCGCTTCTGCTGCTGCTGCTGCTGCTGCTGCTGCTGCTGCGCTGCGCTTGCTGTCCATACACTCGAAGCCAATGAAAAGAGCAACAGAAGGGCCCGCTGAGTCAGCAGCAGCTGCATGCGTCAAGACACCGCAGCACCTGCAGCGAAAGAAGCGCCAAGCTCTGCTGCAGCAGCAGCTGCTGCTGATGCTGCTGCCTGCTGCTGCTGCTGCTGCTGCTGGAGGCAGCAGCACCTCCTCACTGTTCTTTATTGGGCCTTCAGAAGCAAACATGAAAGACAGAGCAGCAGCAGGATCACTCGAGCATTTGCTGGTGCTGACCATATCCAGGACCTGCCGCAGCAGCAGCTGCTGCAGCTGCTGTTGCTGCTGTTGCTGCTGCGATTGCTGCAGCTCGTGTTGCTGCTGCTGCTGCTGCTGCTGCAGCTCCTCTGGCTGCCGCTTCGCCTGCCTTTCATCCTCTTCAAGGTCGAAACGAAATTGCGCCCCAGTCTGTCCTGTAATTCTTGGTGCTGCTGCTGCTGCTGCTTCTGCTGCTGCTGCTGCTGCTGCTGCTGCTGCTGCTTCTGGGGAAGGCCGTCTTGGGGTTAGCAGCAGCCACTGCAGCTTTCGCAGATGGACTCCATAGCGGCGCCGCAGCCACGCTGCGTAGCTGCTGCATCTGCCCTGCAGCAGGCAGCAGCAGCAGCAGCAGCTGCTGCTGCTGCTGCTTCTGCAGCTGCTGCAGCTTCTGCTGCTGCTGCAAACGGCGTCACTATGTGGGCAATGGCATTCAACAAAACGGCTTTCAACAGGCAGCGCAGCAGCTGCTGCGATGTGCTCATGTGCTGCTGCTGCTGCAGCTGTTGCTGCTGCTGCTGTAGCAGCCCAGCTACCTGCGTGGCTCCCCTCATCACCATTTTGCTGCTGCTGCTGCTGCTGCTGCAGTGAGCAGCACCTGCTGCATCGCCGCAGCTGTTGGGAAGGGCTGTCGCTGCCGCGCTGCCCGTGGAGTTGGCTGCTGCTGCTGCTGCTGCTGCAGCGAGAACAGCTGCGGCAGCTGCTGCTGCTGCTCCCTCTTGAATACTCGCCGGCTCCAACTGCTGCAGCAGGTGCTTCTACCTCTTTCTGGCACCCGTTGCTTCTGCGTCTGCTGCTGCTATTGCTGCTGCTTCTGTTGTTGCTGCTGCTTCCGTTGCTGTTGCCGCTGCTGCTGCTGCTGCTGCGCAGCTGCTGGAATAGCTGCCGCGGGACGCGGAAGGTGCAGCAACCACAAAGACAAGCAATTCGGAGAAGTGGGTTGGCATCACATAGCAATTGCTGCTGCTGCTGCTGCTGCTGCTGCTGTTGCTGCTGCCGCTGCTGCAGCTGCAGCTGCAGCAGAGCGCGCAGCGTCACGCGCGCCGGCTTGTTTGCTGCTGCTTCCCACGCTGGTATTTGCTGCAGCAGCGGCAGCAGCTGCTGCGGACAAAGACACAGCAAACAGTTGCTGCTGAGAAGCCCAAAAGCCCTCAAGTGGTCCAGGCCCAGCCCCCGCATCAGCAGCAGCAGCACTGCTGCTGCTGCTGCTCCCTGTATTGCATGCACTCGGGGGGATGCAGCAGCAGCAGCAGCAGCGCCAACAGCCGATCGATACGAAGACAGCTGCTGCTGCCACAAGTCGCGAGAACGACGCCGTTGCTGTTGCTGCTGCTGCTGCTGCTGCGGCTGCTGCTGCTGCTGCGGCTGCTGCTGCTGCTGCTGCGGCAGCGATGCAATGAAGAGAACCGTGCCAGCAGCAGCAGCAGCAGATCTCAAGAAGTCCCAAAGCTTAGGAAGAAAGTGGAGAAAGGAAAGAGCTGCTGGATTTAGTTCTTCCGCGCTGCTGCTGCTGTTGCTGTCGCTCCTGCACGTGCTGCTATTGCTGCTGCGGCTGCTGCTGCTGTTGCTGCTGCTGCTCTCTGCAGCAGCATAAGCATATTCGCTGCAAATTAGCACCTCTGGGGAAGTCCTAGTTGCTACGCAAGAAGGAGCGAGCCCGCCCTGCAGCAACTGCTGCTGCTGCTGCTGCTGCTGCTGCTGCTGCTGCTGCTGCTGCTGTCTGAAATCAACAACATGGCTGAAGCGGCGGCAGCAGTCTGGCTGCGACAGAACTCTTGGGGGAGAAGCAGCAGCAGCAAAGAGCCAGTTCAGCCCAGCATGCACATCAGACAAATCTGCTGCTGCTGCTGCTGCTGCGGCTGCTGCTGCTGCTCCAGACGCGCCATCGCCAGCGCAGCAGACGTACAAGTCCCTCAGTATCTGCACTGGCTGGGTAACGTCTTGCTGCTGCTGCTGCTGCTGTTGCTGCTGCTGCTGCTGTTGCTGCTGCTGCGGCCGTTCTACATGTGCTGCTGCTGCTGCTGCTGCCGCTGTCAAAAGCTGCAGCCCGTCTTCACTGCTGCAGGCCCACGGCTTTGGAGCGCTTGCACATGCTGTGGCTTCTGCGTTTGTTGCTGCTGCTGCTGTTGCTGCTGCTGCTGCTGCTGCTGCTGCTGCCTCAGAATGCATGTGTGCACTATCTGTACTTGAGGCAGCTATGGCAGCACCTGCGCTCTGGCGGCATCCCTGCTGCTTCTGCGGTTGCTGCTGCTGCTGCTGCTGCTGCTGCTGCTGCTGACTCTCACGGTCTCTGAGAGCATCTGCGTCGCTTTGGCTAGCATCCCCTTGCCACCGCTGTTGCTGCAGCAACTGCAGCTGCTGCTGCTGCAGCTGGTGTTGCTGCTGCTGCTGCTCTAGGTGAGTGGCCTGCAGCTGCTGCAGCAGCGAGCGGTAGGACAGCAGCGGCACAAAGGAAGCAAAAGAAGCCGCCGCAGCAGTAGCCTGAGACGCTGCATGCTGCAGCACCAGGACCCGCTGCTGCTGCCGCTGCTGCTGCTGCTGCTGCTGCTGCTGCTGCTGCTGCTGCTGCTGCGCAGCAGGCGAGTAGAGCGTGGCGCATGCAGCGCCGGTGAAGTCGGGGCGAGTGGGGAGTTCGGAAAGAATTGAAGTGTACAGACGGCTGAAGAGAGGCAGCAGCTGTGCTGCAGTGGGCCGGCGCTGCGGCTGCAGCGCGAGCAGCAGCAGCAGGAACTGCAGCAGGCGTTTGTCGCGCAGCAGCAGCTGCTGCTTCTGCTCGCTGACCAGTGTACGTACACCCCGCAGCCGCGAATAAAAAAAAGGGTCTCTTGCAAATAAAGCAGTTCCCGTCAGCAGTTCGAAGAAGAGGCAGCCGAGGCACCAGACGTCGCAGGCTTCGCTGCTTCCGTAGCCCTCGCTTGCTGCTGCTGCTGCTGCTGCTGCTGCTGCTGCTGCTGCTGCTGGGGGGGCGGGGGCGTCGCCCGCTGCTGCAGCGGGGGGCAGCAGCGCCACCAGGCGGCTCGAGGGCGACTGCCCGCCGCTGCGGCCGCTCGTCGCCAGCTCCTCCTCTCCCGCTGCTGCCGCTGCTGCTGCTGCTGCTGCTGCTGCTGCTGCTGCTGCTGCTGCTGGGGGCTGCGGGCGCTGCAGCGGCAGCAGCAGCAGCTCAGGGCTCTTGTTGACTTCTGTCCCCCGAGGGTGCCTCAGCAAGTCCTGGGGGCCCCTTAGCAGCCGGCCTTCTCCAAAGTCTGCCAGCACCACTAAAGGCATGTAAATCACCCGCTGCTGCTGCTGCTGCTGCTGCTGCTGCTGCTGCTGCTGGCGCCTGTGCAGCAGGTGCTGCTGCGGCAGCGGCAGCAGCAAGCTGGAGTCCACCAACACGTTGCCGCACTTCAAGTCAAAGTGAGCCACCCCGCTGCTGTGCATAGCAGCAACAGCAAAAAGGATTTGCCCAAAGATCCCCAGCAGCACGGGCAGCAGGTCCAGCCGCAGCACGCCCTCTTCCTGCTGCTGCTGCTGCTGCTGCTGCTGCTGCTGCTGCTGCTGCTGCGCCGGTGCGGAGGAATCCGCGGCGGGCGCGGCTGCAGCAGCAGCAGCAGGAGCCGCCTCCGCAGCAGCAGCAGCAGCCGCTGCTGCTGCTGCTGCTGCCCACTTTTGCCTCCAGGCAATCAGCGTGGCTGCGTAGCGCTGCATGCAAATGAAATAGCTGCTGCAGCCTTCTGCTGTCTCCAAACCAAAGTCCAGCAGCTGACAAACAAGAGACACTTCAAGTCGAAAAGCTTCCAAGCAAGAAGCTTCTTCGAAGACGCGACACAGCGCCGACGAAGCCTGCACGCAGCAGCA